ACCCATGGAAGCAGCAGTCAAGAAATCAAACGACATATTGCATTGGGCAAATCTGCTACAAAAGACCTCTTTAAAGTGTTGAAAAGCAAAGATATCACCTTGAAGACTAAGGTGCACTTGACCCAAGACATGGTATTTTCAATCGCATCATATGCGTGCGAGAGCTGGACAACTAATAAGGAAGACTGAAGAAGAACTGACACCTTTGAATTGTGGTGTTGGCGAAGAACACCGAATATACCATGGACAGCCAAAAGAATGAACAAATCTGTCTTGGAAGAAGTACAGCCAGAGTGCTCCCTGGAAGCGAGGATGGTGAGACTGCGTCTTACATACTTTGGACATGTTGTTAGCAGGCATCAGTCCCTGGAGAAGGACATCATGCTCGGTAAAGTACAGGGTCAACGAAAAAGACGAAGACCCTCAACAAGATGGATTGACACAGTGGCTGCAACAACAGGCTCAAGCATAACAACGATTGTGGGCATGGCGCAGGACTGCGCAGTGTTTCCTTCTGTTGTATGCAAGTTCGCTGTGAGTTGGAACCAACTGAACAGCACCTTAACAACAAAGGGAAAAAAGAAAGTGTGTCAAGAGTGAACATGGCCACTAGAGAGAACATACTAATGCTAACATAAACGTTTAAAAAAAACTTTTTGTTGTTGCCCGATGTTAAAGGAGTTTTTTTTGGTCAAATACTGGTGTTGGCTCCGTAGCTGTGGTTCATGCCGACCTCTCCTCCCCAACTCTGCACAGACTGTAGCACTGTGACTATACACACTACCTTACGTCACAGCCGACTCAGATGATTACGTCTCGGAATTTTCTATAAATACTCATGGTCAAAACCTAAAACTGTGAATAACAAATACGAATGCCAAAAAGTGAGCTGAAGTATTTAGTTTTCAATTTCACGAGATGATAAAATGCAGAGGCATTTTTGTTGCTGTTAAGAAAAAAGAAAACAAACAAACCGAGGTCTTTGCATCTTGAGGTACGTTCCACAACAGTCTACGAAAAAAAGCCATTTCTAAACTTCTCTATGACGTAGCAAGAGAGGTAACGTAAGTTGATACAGTAACTGAACCTGAAAAGGGTAGAAAGAAATAAAAGTGGAGGAAAAATCAGGTGGAAAACTGGGAAAGAATCAATAATGCTGATAAATTCTGTACTTGCATGCGTAGTCCCCTGCCCTTAAAGCTTTACAAACACAAATAAGGACCAAATAAGGAGCCGAGACTACAAACACACATCTAAAACACGGTTCCCTCCAAAGGTAAGTCATGTCACAGGAGTCAACTTGGAGTGACGGCATTTGAGTTAAAACAAGAAACCCGCTGGCCCAGCAGCTGTCCCGTCTCTTCCCTTCACCTCCAGTCTTCTCAAGGCTCACAGTTAAGTGGCAGCCTGGAGGTGACCATGTGACCTGGCACACCTCCTGTGTATGGCAGGAGAGGAGAAGGCTGCAGCTGCTGACATTTAAGTGTCTGGCCTGCCGTTACCGCGACACACTGCTGTTCCTGTTTCCTTCTCTCGGCTATTTCTGCTGCAACCTTGCTCTTCACTTCTGGGTTCTTCAACCACATCAAAATAACTGGGATCTCCAAAAAATAATTTTACTGAAAGTTCAGTAGACAGAGAAGAAAGATACAAAGTGAGCAAGCTGTTCTTGTGTTTACTCTACCATTTAAAAGCTCTCTTTGCAAGAGCAGGTGTTCATGAATTATGAATACAAAAAAGAGCACCACCACCACCCCTAGAAAACCCAAACCAGCGACTGTACCTTTTACTTGGTTATTATTTTACAATCAGTAGTACACCTTATCATTTTACTTTCTTTTTGGGGGGGGATATCAACTGATATAAGGAGCCCTGGTGGCTCAGTGGTTAAAGCGCTCAGCTGCCAACCAAAAGGTCAGCAGTTTGAACCCACCAGCCACTCCGTGGGAAAAAAATGTGGCAGTCTGCTTCCATAAAGAGTACAGCCTTGGAAACCCTATGGGCCAGTTCTACTCTGTCCTACAGGGTCATTGTGAGTTGGAATCGACTTGACGGCAACGAGTTTTTATCAACTGATGTAGGCAATTCGATTGCCATAAAGGTTCAATTAATCTAATTTGTACAATTGGTGAAATTTAAATATATCAAATTTAGATATATTAGATAATAGCATTCTATCAATGTTGAATTTCCTGAGTTTATCACTGTACTGTGGTTATATAAGAGAACGCCCTTGTTTTAGAAGATATATAGGAGCAAAGGGTCATGACTGTCTACAATTTACTTTCAAATGCCGTGCCAACAAAATAAGACAGGCAAATGAGCATATCAGGGGATGAGGCCTGGACCAGATGACTAACAGAAAGTCCTGTGCCAATCCACACAGAAAATATTAGTAAATTCATTATCCTTTTACATTAAAAATAAA